CTTTTGACTTTTTTCTTTCCTTTTTTAATTGCATTTTAGGTTTTGGGGTACATGTGAAGAACATGCAAGATTGTTGCATAGGTACACACATGGCAGTGTTGATTTGCTGCCTTCCTCCCCATCACCTATATCTGGCATTTCTCCCCATGCTATCTCTCCCCTACTCCTCACCCCCCGCTGTCCCTCCCCTGTTTTCCCCCGACAGACCCCAGCGTGTGATGCTCCCCTCCCTGTGTCCATGTGTTTCTTATTTTACTTGGGAATTAGGATGGGTTTCCTCCAATAGCAGAGAATAGCGAAAGGGAAACCAGTAAAGAGACATAGAAACTGTATTCAAGTCATTTCTGCCACCAGGGATAAAAAGGTTCTTCGGAATAATTTGCCTTGTGAAGTGAGGTAGTCTGTGACCTTCCTAGCAGCAGTTCTGGCTGGAATATAGCTACTTTAAAAAATGTTGGCTACTTTTAAGTTCTGGTTTAGGAAACTACTGGTGTTCTAGTAAATTCCAGTCACGTAGTTATTTCCTGCTGTTTTTTCCTCATGCGTTCTATATTCTGCCAGTGGTCTGCTTGCATTTGCCAGAAAGTTACCTGTTTCATGTGCTTCTGTGTCTACACTCCTTGAAAAGCTTGTACTGTGTTTCTCTCATCTTCTCTTCTTACCTAAGTGAATTTCTACTTTCTTTGTCTAATCATTATCTCTTAAAACTTGTCTTTCCATACCCCTTTGCCTATGGAATTCCTGTAACAGCCTTATAGTACTTATCATACTGTGTTTGCCTATTGCCTGTTTCTTCTGTCAGACTGTGAGTTCCTTTGGGGATGGATCGTTTTGCCTGTTCACTGAAAACTGAGCTACAATATTTTGTAGCTTGTTCAGTGACTTGAACACAGTTTCTGTGTTTCTTTACTGATTCCTACACATATAAATGAACAGGCAAAATGAAGATTCAAGTTCCGCAGAGTCCAGGACAGTTTGTAAAGACATAAAAATAGAGTGAATCTATAAATATATTTATGTTTCCGTTGGATATGCAAATACTGCTGTTATGAATATGTATTTTACTAGTGTTTCTTATCAGAGTTGTAAATTATATCTAATCAAGTTTCATGTCAATAAAGGTAGAATATTTCCTAGCACACAGAAAATAATCCTTTAATATAATTTATATAATATTTGAGAATTTTTCATTGGAAACAAACTTACGGGTTTGTAAGTCAGTGGAAAAAATAATAACAAATACATGATTTTCATAGACTACTACAGAAATATGTTTGTGTTTTGTTTTGTTTTGTTTTGTGAAAAGATCTTACTCTGTCACCCAGGCTGGACTGCAGTCTGGAACTTCTGGGCTCAAGCAATCCTTCCACCTCAGTCTTCTGAGTATCAAGGATTACAGGCTTGTGCTATGACATATGGCTGATATTTTAATTTCTTTGTAGAGACGAGGTCTCACTATGTTGTCCAGGCTGTTCTCAAACCCCTGGCCTTAAGCGATCCTCCTGCCTCTGCCTCCCAAAGTATTGGGATTATAGGTGTGAGCCACTACACCCAGCCAAGAAGTATATTTGTATGAATAAAATCAGTTTATCCTAACAGAATGTTTTAACTAAGAATATTTTTACTTAGTTTTACAAACTCTCTTTTCATGACTTTCTGTGTCACTGTTTTAATATTTGATGGTAGTATAATTGTCTTAACAAACAATTGTTTAAACCAGAATAATAATGAATTTTTAAACATTGTTAACAGTATTTGGTATCATCTCATTCAATCCATACCATTATGCAGTGAGATACGAACAACTATTATCTCTATTTTACTCTGTGGGCAAGTGAGATTTAAGTACTTTCTCAAGGTTACATAGATACTAGTAAGTGACAGAGATAGCCAAAACAGACTCTTAACCATCATGTGGCAGTTGCTCTTTTGAAATGGCAGAGTCTGAACTGTGAATCCATTTTAATTAATTTTATTTGCTTCTAAGTAGATCTCTACCATTCCAGCCACCAAACTGACGCATTTGTCACTTTTTTGCACTGTTGACTTCTCTAAAAAAAATTTATATAAATCGTTTATGTGTCTCAGATTTTCTAGACCACTTTGTTTTTGTAGATGCTCTGTCCAGATTTTGGTATAATTTATAAATTATTGCTGTATCACTGAGCACTCTGTCAAATAGGAATGCTATTAAGATTTCTGATTAAATAAAGGAACAACTATTTGTTTTAATCCCTTTTTAAAATAAAATATTACAGCTGTGACTAATTATTTCTTAATTTATCAGCTTTAAACATTTTGATTTTAATTATGAAGCTTTCCCAAAGTGGGATCTTGGACACTTCTCACACCCAAACTTTAGTCACCCATTAAAATGTTTATTGGATTCATGTTAACATTTATGAAACAGGGAGTCAGAATTAATGGAATATAAGTTTTATACCATGTTATTTGTTAACATTTTCCTTTAAAGGATTTAGATTAGGTTTTCATACCAAACAAGGGCTCACAGAACTATAAATGAACCATTTAAATTGCTTTTTAATATGTTTAGAACCTATGCTGTTAACAATTTTTATAGTATAAAATTTTCACACTATGTTTGTATGCTTCTAATATTTTTTGCATTGTAGTAGATGAATAAGCCGCATTACTGAATTATGAAAATTACACAATGGTAGTATAAATGCTATTATTGTGTTATGCAAACTTGGCTGATTTTTATCAGATTTTAATCTTTTCTCATTTTAAACAAATTATTCTGCTTTTGTTTTTTGATATAAATTGGCTGTGCTGTCTATTACACTTGAATTCATGTGATGGCATGCAAAAGCCAAAACTGATTGTAGTCTCAGGTTACTTTGTATTTTCTTTTAATGAGTGACTTTCCAAATTGAACAGGACGTTTTATAAAATCTGCGTGATATATAATGGAATAGGTAAAATACAGGTTTCCTCAAAATTGTCTTGACTTTTTTCTTTTTTGTACTCTCCAAAAGTAATAATAACTAGTTTTTTTTTTTTAAGTTTGCAAGCCACTTACAATGGCTTAATTGTAGAATCTACTGTCAGCTGTCTTGGCCCTGCAATTGGTTACTTAGATTCTCTTTCTTTTTACTTATGTCTTACTAGGTACTTATGTAGTTTTCTTATAAAATAGTTTCTTAATCATAATGATCACAGTCAAGCCATTGTACAAATTATTGGGCCTGATAAGAGTATTAGAAATGTAAAAGAATATTATTTTCAGTATTAAACTTTGGCATAGGAAGTTTGTATATGAAGTTCCTAAAGCTAGCCATTTTCATTCGTTTTAAGTGTTCTCATTGTGACTACAATTGAACTGTATTTATTGTGACTATAGTTTAAATGAGCAGGAAGTAATTCACTTGCATGTTTTATGCTTAGATTTTAAAATATTTTTTGGCATTGATTAGTGGGAAGTGAAAAAAATTATAAGTAGTTAAATGTGTCTATAAATGAGAGAAAGGAAAAATATAGGATAAAATGATGTGGTATTAAAAATATTTTGAAGCTTTAATATTACTTTGTATTTGCGACATAGTTTAGGAAACTGTATTATACATTTACATCTCTTAATCTCACAACAACTTTGGGTCTTAAGCAGGATAGATTTATTTCACTCATTTTATAGAAAGAATAGAAGGCTTAGTGAATTTAAGTAAAATTCACCTTGATGGTTAGTGAGGACTTCCTAAACAAGACTTAAAAGGAAAGGTTAATAACTATAATAAAAAAAAAAAAGGAAGCCTGTAGTTCCAGCTACTTGGGAGGCTGAGAGAATAGCTTGAGCCCAGGGTTTGAGTCTAGTCTGGGCAACATGGTGAGACTCTGTCTCTGAACAAAAACCCCAAACAAACAAAAAAATGGTAGTGGAGAAAAATATCCAAAGAGCAATAATGAGATACTATTTGTCAGATGTCAAATTATCAAAAATTAAAATACTTGATTATATTTTATGTTTTCAAGCTTCAGGAGAAACTGTAACTGCCAAGGGAAGGTAATTTGGTACAATCACTTTGAGAGCTATTTGGCAGCATGCTCTTTTATGAGTGAAGAATTGGAAACAACCCAGTGTCTCAGTAGAGGAGTAGATAAAAAAAACTGGTGTAATATTGTAATAAAAATTCTATGGTAGTTAAAATTAATGTGCTAGATCTAATAAGTAAAAGTCTTGAGAACATAATGAAGAGTGAAGAAAGTAAATGGTGAGAATGTTTATTATAATGCTATAATACCATTTATGTGAATATAGAACCACATACATCAATACTCCAAAAAAGATATAAGGAACTTAACAGGAATGGAATACCATCTTTCTTTTTTTTTTTTTTTTTTTTTTTAAAATAAGAGTTAAACGTGGAACGTGGTTAATAAGCATTGGGTGTTAGATACATGGGTACTTGGTAAATTATTTTTACAATTTTAAAAATGTATTTTAATAAAAACAGAAAGAAAGGGAAGTTAACTTTCTTAGAGTTACCAAAAAGGTATTGTTGGAAGACCTAGTACTTAATTTAGGACCTGAATCTCAAGTCTAGAGCTTTTTCTAACATGCTACCTCATGATGAGAAGGAAAAAAATTTAGATGAAAGGATCGAGAAGCTAGACAAAATTTAGTTTCATAGTAATAAGAACCAGGAAACGTATGTGTTTCTAGTAAATTTTTTTACTAGAGAAGTTTATAAGAAATAAAAATTACTATAATTTTACTTTAAAATCTTTAAGCATGCTGTTACATACATAGAACAACTTAGGTACTTAGGAGAAATTTTACCTTAATTTATTGTTTAAAATGTGATACATATTTTTATTGCATGTAATGGAAGACATTAGGTAATTTGAATTTTTAAAATACAAAATTCATGAAAATAATCCAAATATACAATCTGCCTTCAATCTAACAAAGTCAAAACTAGTTTTTCTTCCATTTTGTAAAGTCATTCTGCACAAAAACTTTATAGCCTTTTTATTTACAGCTTCTCTCCAAGATAAAATGGCAAACCCAAAAGAGAAAACTGCAATGTGTCTGGTAAATGAGTTAGCCCGTTTCAATAGAGTCCAACCCCAGTATAAACTTCTGAATGAAAGAGGGCCTGCTCATTCAAAGGTAAGGTTATGAAGAGAGGTGGTGAGACATACTTATCAAACTAACAGATTTCTCATCTCAGATTTTAATTGTGCTTTATTTTGGGGAGTGGGGGGTTTGGCGGCTGGCTTGAAGGCTTTTAGTTCTACATTAATAATATTTCAAAGTATGTAACTAAACTATTTTGTGGCTCATTATGGCTTACAAAACTCTTTTAGGTATAGTACTTCATATAAACCTTAATAAAACCACATGAGATATGGATTTTTGATTTCCATTTTGTAAATTAAACTCAGGCACAGGAAAGTTAAATGACTTGCTTAATAGTTCATAAGTGCCAGTGCCAGTACTTGAGTATGTTTTCTTTAGCTTCCAAGAATGGTGTGCTTTCCGTTAAATCACAGCTGCCAAAGTAGAAGTGGAGGCAGAGTAAATATACCAACAGTTACCTAGTGAGACATCTTTTCCAATGTGATATTTAATTCTAACATTAATCATTTATAAAAGTTGTATATACCACTGATGTTATTATGTATGCATTCACTTATATTGTTTTTTTAAATGTAAAGCAATTTTTATTTATATATAACTACATACATTTATTTTGCATATTTACATGCTACAAATCTACAGCTAATGCATTTATGTTTGAGCTCTATTCAGTTGCTTAAAATATCTTAGTTGTGCATAATTTTCTGTGGCACATTTATATCTTGGATATTGGATAGTATGATAATGAACATGTAATGTGGCAGCATTTGTTCTCTAAGGGTGATTAATCTTCACGAAGCAACTGGTTGTTGGGTTATTTACATTCTAGCATCTCCCTCAAACTAAGGAAAATAAGAGGAAACTACAATCTGTCAATTTTGCTTTCTATTACTGGTTTTTATGAAGGATTTAGGAGCAGCAACTTCATTCGTTCATATCTTTTTTTTCTTGCTAAAATAGTCGTAGCCTTGATCTGTCATTCCAGATATATGTCCCGACTATCTTTCTGATTCATTCTGCCCTTAATCATGTTGAATTATTTGCATTTCTCAGAAAGCTTCATGTTCTTTTCACATCTCTCTGCCTTTGCCTAAGTTGTAGGGTCTTTCTGCCTTGAAGGTCCTTTTGCCCTTATTCATTTTTAAGCACTCAGCTCCATGTTAATCTTCCAAATGTTTGTGAAACCTCTGATCCCTCTACTGGGCCTCCAGCGGGACCTGTAGTTCTCTGTGGTAGCCATTTCTGTGTTGTAGTACAGTAATATATGTTGGTCATTGGTTTTGTGCTAGACTGAGCTTATTTATGGGTGTGTATTTTACTCTTCTACATTTCTTGGTCCCTTTGGTATATACTCTTTGTTCCTCATTGCCAATTACAGGTATTCTTCATTGAAACAATCTCCCAGTTTTGAGTTTCATGTTATCAGACTAACTCCCTGCAACCCTCATGATGGTCACTTACACCTGGGTGATTCCATCACATTTCTTATGGCTCACTTTCACTCTCTTCAGCATTTCCCATTTTAATTTTTGGTGATTTCAACACCTAAATAGATGATTGTTCCAACATGTTGAACTTAAAGTTCCTTTAACTTCTCCAGTGATCTTGTTCTGTACCCTCCTTCAGTCACTCATGCCTATAATCACATTCTTGACCTTATCATTACCAGTAACTGCATAATGTTAATTTCAAGCTTTCATCTTTCTGTGACACTTGCCTCCTTTCTAGTTCATTCCCTCTAGTAATTTGACTTCCACAGTCCTTTCATCCTGCTGATCCATTGATTCTGCCACCTTTTGAGACAGTCTTGCTCTGTCGCCCAGGCTGTAGTGCAGTGGTGCGACCTCGGCTTACTACAACCTCTGCCTCCTGGGTTCAGGGGATTCTACTGCCTTCGCCTCCCAAGTAGCTGAGACTACAGGCACACGCCACCACACCTGGCCAACTTTTGCGTTTTTAGTAGAGATGAGGCTTCACCATGTTAGCCAGGATGGTCTCGATATCCTGACCTTGTGATCCACCCACCTTGGCCTCCTAAAGTTCTGGGATTGCAGGTGTGAGCCACTGTGCCTGGCCAATTCTGCCACCTTTTTACTGTTCCTCACTTTCCTCAACCCTCACATAACTCTTTAATCTGCTTAAATGTTGTGTGCCTTTTATGTAGGTACCCTCAACTGTCTTGCCCAGGTCCTCCTGGATCCCAACCCGTTTCACCTCTTCAAGGCCATTCTTCATTTTGCTGCTTCTGCCTCCTCCTAAGAGTGAAGAGCTGGAATACTCTTAATACTTACTGAAACCATCCCCATCCTCCATATATGGTAAAGGAAGGCCAGTCTACTTGGGAAGGTTCTGGAGGACTCTTAGGAGGATTTGGATTTCCTTAAGATTTTTTAGGAATCCATTGTAATTTTTGGAAGAGTTTATGAACTGACTTTGTATCTCCTTTTCTCACTGCTGGGGTTTTAAAGGCTAAACAGGTTTGCTGTGATGAAAGTAGAACATAATGGGTCTCTTCTTATTTCTAGATAGTCCCAGGATTCCCTTGGGTTTTAAGGAGATTTGGAGATCCCTTTTGTACATACAGCAACAGTTAACTGTGGCTTTTAGGTGAGACATACAATGTATTTTAATGAAATTAATGATTATCTCTGGTAAGAAAAATCTAAACCTAGTTTCAACTCATTAATTTTCTTGGGGCTGGGCATGGTGACTCATGTCTGTAATCCCAGCACTTTGGAAGGCCAAGGCGGGAGGATCACTTGAGGTCAGGTGTTTGAGAACAGCCTGGCCAACATGGCGAAACCCTGTCTCTCCTAAAAAATACAAAAATTAGCTGGGGCATGGTGATGCGTGCCTATAATCTCAGCTACTTGGGAGATTGAGGCAGGAGAATGACTTATACCTGGGAGGTAGAGGTTGCAGTGAGCCGAGATTGTACTACTAGACTCCAGTTTGGGCTACAGAGTGAGAATCTGCCTCAAAAAAAATTTTTTTTTTCCTGATACATTAATTATATGACAGTTCATGCACACACTACACATGTGCTTACATATGTGGAAAGTGGTTCTCAACTTTGGCTGTTAATTGGAATAATTTTGGGAGCTTTAAAACATAGTTATGCCTATGTCTCATCCTCTTTCTTTAATGGTCTTGGTTGTAGCTCACACATCAGGAATTTTTTAAAGCTCTGAAATGACTCAAAAGTACAGCCAGATTTGGGAAACATGGAACAGAGGTTAATGTTTTCAGAGTGGTATGGAATTGTCTTCTCATGCATCATGTTGACAGGTAGTGACCTATCTTACATTTACATGCTTTCCTCTTTCCCTCATTGAGTATCACAAATTCTGAACAACTTGTAATATGTGACTATTAAGTAAAAAATAATTATTTTAATCTTTGCCTTGCCTTCTTTTATTTTTCTGCTCAGTTTTTAATTGAACTCTGAAACAAGTTAGTATACCTTACAACAATGTGAATTTTTGTGATATTGCTTTATTTCTTAGGTACCTGTATACAGTTATTTTTTCTACAGATTATTGTTTTGGTTTGCACAAAACTCAAAAGAAGACTGTTTTAATTAGAATATGAGGAAGAGAGCCATGAGTAACATAAAATGATATTTTCTTCTTTTCCATTATTTTCCTATTCTGGTAATTTGTTGGTAGGCAAGTGTCAAGTAAGCTGCACTAGTGCTGATACTTTGAGATGGCTTACTTTGGAATAGTTATCACTGAAGGAGGCGGTGCCATCCACTGGCCCTTAAGCCAAGTAGTCTAAAAAAAAAACTTTGCTAGAGGTGCCCAGCTTGATCTTTGCCCTTCATTGCCCCGCTTGTGTCGCCTTGAGCAACTAATTTAAAGTTTCAGTTTTCTTATCTGTAAATGGAGTGATATAATACCTCATAAAGTGGTATAATGGAGTGACAATTTATAAGTTCTTTAGCATCATGTTGATAATGGAGGTGCCCAAATAATTATATCATTGTTTATTAGTCATATATAGGACTGTAACAACTCCTTAGTAAAACATCTGTTGAGTATTTACTATGTGACGGGCACTGTTCCTGCACTGAAAACAAATAAGGTACATATTATGCTGTTAGGAGCTTTGTCTCATAACATTCATTATGAAACCTACCAACATCTTCTTAAGATCTTACTTTTAGTTTATTATGAAAAATTTGAAGTAGACTCCAAAGTTGAACTTCAGCATTATCAATATTTTGCCAAGGTACATTTATTTACCACCTTCTACCCAGTTTTTTCAGCTAAAGTTTTTTAAAGAACTGTTGACTCATAAGTGCTTTCGTTGTGCATTCATAACTGATAAGGACCTTTAAAAAATTGCCCACTTTGCTGTCATTATGAGTAGATTAATAAGCCCAAATATTATGTAATACATGATCTGTATCTGTCTTTTCTTTATTAGACTTAGCGATGTCTTTTTACATTTGGTTTGTTCAAACAGGGTCCAAACAAGAATCATATGTTACATTTGGTTGCCATGTCTCTTTGGTCTCTTATTTATTAATACTAACACTCCCTTTATCCCCATCCCCTCTTTTCCAATGACATTGATTTGCTGGAGAAATAGAGTCATTTGTCCTATAAAATGTTCTACATCTTAAATTTGGTTGATTGTATGTAGGGATTGTTATATGAGGGGATTTCATCAATTTGATGAGTATTGGGCTAGAGCAGAGATATTGAGCTGTAGGATGTGCCTCTTGAATACATCATTTTCAGGCATGATGAAATAATCATTTTCTTTCTATGTACCTTTGCAGTGGAAGTATAGGATAAGAGAGTGAAGATGGTAGAAGGGAAATGTAGCAGAGTCATGAGAATATACTAAAACAATGGGAGAGCCTTTTTTTGAAGCAATGCAGACTGATTTCTTTCATAATTTAACCCATGCCAAAAGTACTGTTTCTGCTTTATATCTATGTGAGAAAAAAAAAAAAGAACAAACATTTCCAGGGTCCCACAAAATTTTCTTGTTCTTTTTGCACCTGGGACCTCACATAG